TTTTGTTATTGTTGTTGTTTATCTTTATCTTTATCTTAACAGTTCTGAACGGTCTTAAATGTTTGCAGTGTTTCATCCAGTAAGACTATTTTTCTCTTGATGGGAGCCACTTTTTTTAAGAATCAAAGACAGGGTGTAAAACTCGCAAACCCCAACGCACACAACACGATACCCTCTCTTCATGGCTCCCGGCCCTACCCCGGCGGGTACCGTCGGGACATCCCTTAAAAAAAGGTACTAGTATCCAATCTCCTTAGCACGGTAATTTTCAAAATGGCGGGTAAAGGCGATGCGGTGATAGATGTGAGTTTGAATGGAACATTGGAGCCAGCCAGCCCGTCGTTACAAAATTGCATCAAATGCTCAAGCACTGGAAAATACTTCAGTGTCCTGTGTGACTTTGGAGTGGCTTTGATTCTTGAGATAAAAGGTACTTCAAGAGTGTATGTCAGTCTAAAACTCGAAATGAAATGTCGTGAGTCAACGTTCACTGTGCGTTTTTGGAAGAGAGCAAGTCAAAGATTAACAATTTTGTAGGTACAAAGTTTGCAGCTGTTCCTTTGTGTACCCTAGAGGGAGTGCAATGCCTTCGCATTGCGAGCAGTAAACTTCCTGTAAATGCGTTGCAGTTTCAAATGTGGGACCTACATTCATTAGCATTCGAAATAAAGCATCGATTGCTACTGTACAATTTAACTGTGTACATGTTGTAAACAAGTTATTCCTGGCAAGAGTACTTCTTTCCGTCGAAATTCTTCACTTAAATTCAGAAAGTAACTTTTTGAATGACTACTGTCACGGAGAAGTTGCTGAGAATAGTAAAATTTTTGCAGTTAAATCCTTTTTACAATTTCCTTCATAAGCGACCTTGCTGATCACCTACGCGATTTCGTCCTCTCAATGTTTTCCCTGCTAAGTCTCTATATTCAAATACTGACAGATCAATTTTTCGTTTCTTACCTTTGGTGTAGCTATGTTTCAGAATACTTCAAATTATATAATTTAATTTTCTTTCAGTATCAAAATTCTGCTGTAATGAGACAACATGCAAACCGACTCTTAAGCTTACAATTTTAATTTTGCATGGCGTTGCAGAGCATGATGACAGCTTCCAGGCAGTCATTACCAAGAAACTCTCATTTGGTAAAGGTGAACTTCTGGAAGGCCATGCTTGGTCCTGTGATGATGAGATTTTTGCCGTGGCTGGATGCAAAATCCGTCTTTGTAATGTAAGCATGTGAAATCTTAGTCTTAATCTGCTACTTCTGGGAGCAAGATGTTGCAGAGTGCTCACCTCCTGCTACTGTGGCTTGGGTTGATTCCCAGACCTTTTATGATAGCGACCAAAATCTTTCATTTTTATCCAACATTGGGTACTCTTAGAATCTATGAAAAATAAGACTGGAAGGCTAAGATGCCATTTTTTCGATTTGACCAGATAAAAACATATGATAGGCAAGGAAATTTGCAAGACCTGGGTTCAGTTTATTGTTGATTCTTGTCCTTGCTCAGAGAATTTTTTCTCCAGGTCCTCTGGTTTTCCTCCCTCCCTGAAACCCTCGTTCTAAATCCCAATTTAACTGGGAAAAATGGACAGAAAGAGCCAACTCATGGAATATTCACTGCTAAATCATTATTTATTATTATTATTTTTTTGTAATTATTATTATTATTATTATTATTATTATTATTACTGTTATACTTCTGGCTCTCTTTGAATGATAGCTACAATGTTATCAGAAATGTCCTGTACTGTTATTGTCGTTTCTTTTTTATTTCTTTTTGTTGCTAGTGGATCAAAACATTAATCCTCAATGTTTTCTCACATCAAATGGCTAGATCTTTGGTCTCTTTAACCTTTCCAATTCCAAGGATTTAGTTACTTGAACTATACCTAAAAGTATTTCTTCATAGACTTACAACGCTTTATATTTTAATTGTCAGGTCAACAATGACTTCCTCATCTTTCACACTATTCCTTTGTATTATTTGCCAAAAGACATTTCCATCATCTTGAGTGACTTTTCACCTTCCAATGAGGTAGTGTATGAGTGACTACTTTAAAAATAAATAAAGTTCCATTAAGTGTTATAAGCTTTTGGGTGAATGTCTCGCCATAATACTACTGAACCTGTATTAAGCGGTTACCCACAGGGAATGGCAGGGTGACTGCTTAACCAGTACTCAGTTTTATTCCTTTGTTGGAAATGGTTACTGTTATTTTGAAATGTTTGGCCCAGTGCCAACATAATGCTCAAACTTTGACTTCTAAATCTGGTTTCTGGCTTCCCACATGCCAAAGATTAGGCTTAGACTTGCTCCACTTTGTAACTTTGGAGTGCAGATTTTAATTATTACTCTGTTATTTAAATAGTAATTGTTGGTTAAATTTATTTGATTGCTTCCTGATTAGGAAGACTTAAAGTAATGCTTCAGCTTATATCTTGACATTTACATTGAATTTTATCTCTTGCAACCACTTTCTCAACCCTGTACACCCTAACATCATTTGTTAAATTCTCCCTACTGTTCTCTGTACATTTACTAATATACTGAAAAGGAGAATTTATCCAACAATCAAGAGTTTCTTTAGTTAAGGATCATTTCCTTTATTCTCATGGCACAAATGTGTGATTAAGTGGTGATATTGTAAGGAGAAATTAGATGCTAATCACACTTAGTAGTTTAAGGGTTAATGTTGTAACCTTAAGTTTTCTCTTTTGATTCTTCAGCGGATTTATCAGTTAGCAGTTGCCAGTCCAAATGGAGTGGAGCTTTATCAAATGGAGATGACAGACAACTTTAAAATTGTACCTCAAAAAAAAATTTTTTGATTTTTAATTCCAAGATAAATTTTCTCTCTGTGCTTGCTTGTCTTTTTCATATGAAACAGTTTGTCTTTTTTCTGTCAGGATGGGTCCTTATCTGTTCATCCAGATCTGGCCATTGCATTGGTGGAATTTTCTCCAGACAAACTGAACCTGGCTGTGGTATGCCAGTACATCAATTAAAGCCTTATGTTCTATAAATAATTAATAAATAAATTTGAATTAATTCAAGGGCAGTTTTGAAAATAAAAAATTGGACATGAAATGCTATCAG